CACACAAATGTTGAAAAAGATGCGTCTCTTTATTTCCACAGTGAGAAAAGCTGCTGCAGGAGAGAGAGAGGAGTCTGAGAGGAAACGAGACGGCAGTCATGAGGGKCTCTTCTCTGTCCTATTAATAAACATGACGGTCCAGTGTGAAGGTAATAGTCAGACTGAATAAGTGTTCAGTGTGGAGTGGATTATTCAAACTCCTTCCCTTTGATCCGCTGAATTATTCATCAGTGAGCAGCTCCTGAGTCATCAGGCAGACATATTAGACAACCGTGGTTCACATATGGCTGCAAAACGTGTCGATGCCTCTGCATTCGTTTTCTCAAMGCTACGCTTGCAGAGACCAGAGCTTCCCAGAGCAATATTTTAAACATTTCTACTGGAGTGAGACCTTACAGTTGTTAGAAAACATGAAGGCTGTTCTCTTTTGACTTCATCAGACGCCGAGATGTAAACTCTGAAACGACAACCCAGTTCCTGTTCTCATCAGCTCTGCGCGTCCAAGAAAAAGCCTTGAAGGACGTACATCTGTTTCTCTGCAAATGAAATGAACGATTGCGCCGTTGGGGAGGTTAGGAGCGTCTGCGGCTCGGGAGGACGTGGCTGTGGCCGACTTCAGAGGAGACGCGTGAAGTCTTTGATGTGARGAAATGTATCAGAGCCGAATCACTCTGCGGCCCAGCGGGGCAGAAAAGACAGAATACTGGAGTGTGTTCAGAGCCACAGAGGGAATCTGTTAACACAGAAGTGCGTCCATCAAAACTTACTGGAGTTATTTTGGTTTGTGGAATCAGCCGCGTGACCTGTTTACATGCAGAACTGAAGCCTCATTATCTCTGAGCAAGTGTTTGGTTTCACGTTCATAAAAACAACAAGGCAAACCTTGTAAATGATACTGGGTACTATTTCATGTAATATTGCAATATCTTGCAAGGATTATTGAGGCTCAAAGTATTTGTTGTTAATGACTCTCAGCTAATACCAAGTTATGACCTAGTTGGGTTGCTGAGGTTGCTCATCCAGTAAATAGTTGTAACTTTATCGAATCAGTCTCAAAACTTCTTTGGTTCATGAGGTATTTTGCTAAAAGACAAACAGGGTGAGCAAAACGTAGTTAATGCAAGTATCCTTTAAGTATACTAATTTTAAACTTCAAATGAAAGAGTATACTTCCAGTTTACTTTTTATGTACTTGTCTGAGATATACTTAACCAAATTTATCTTAAACTATACTTGGCTTGTACTAAAAGTATACTAAAAAATTAATGATACTTAGTCTATAGTAATGTTTTAAAGTTTTGGCCAAGATAAACTTTAGCACTACACTTTTCACACAGACTGGTTTATATGTAGTATATTTC